GTGACATTCCGCGTTATACAGTAAATTCCGTTGACTGGATTCCGCGATTCCATCCGTGTGTTCCACATCGCAGATCATAGGGCCATAGGCGTACCTTTTTTTTATTGCAGAAAACGGAAACATACAAAGAATAAACATACATCACATAATATCAACCACAAAAATAAAATGGAAACAAATCACAAAAAGAATAACATAATAATAAAGATAAGAGGGCCATCATCTAAACATGATTACATGAAGACATCAAAGGCAGAGCAAATCCTAACAGTCCTTATAACTTTCTTATTAGTAGATACTGAAATTACATTCAAATCATTTTCCATTTCTTTTAGGAAGACAGAGAAGACAGGTTTACAGTTGGAAAATGTGCATTTGTGAATGTGAAATTTGCTTAGGAAAAAAATTAAATTAATAACAAAACAGATATATTCGTTTGAGGGGTCGGAGTCATAATACCCAAATATAATGTTTTTCATATGTACTGAGAAACCTGGCAAAATCTTACACTCGACAAACACACCAATATCATCCCAAAACTTCTGAGTGTAGTGACATGACCAAAGTAAGTGTACCACAGTTTCTTCAGAATTCGAACAAAAAGAGCATGTAAGCTCAATGTCAGATTTAAATCTTTGTATAAACTTCTTTACAGGGTAGAACCTGTGTATGAGTTTAAAAGAAATTTCTTTCACTTTGTGAGAAAGAATTTTTGCTGTAGAGACCAGATTTTTTTTCCAATTAAGATTAACAAACAAATTATTCCAAATGGAAATCACAGGTGGAACAGAAATCAGACTCTTAAGAAATAAAGATCGTATTTTATAATTTTTGGCTTTCGACTCAGAGAAACAAATTTAGAGATACTGATGAGTAATTACAGTTTTTAAAAAGCATACATAAACCAGAGGGGATAGCTCCCAAAACTGTAGCAAATTATTTTGCCGTTATTGGTATTTGGAAAGAAAGTCTGAGTACCTGAACAAAAGACCTTGCTCATTAAACAACTGCTCCACCAAAAATATACTACTACTGAACCAACTATCATAAAACAGACTTATTCTTGAATAAAATGTTCTTATTGTTCCAAATAAAACATCTTAGCTTATAAATTAGTGCCCATGCTAAGAGAACCTGTTGATGAAAGTTGGCAAGTTTGATAGGGAGCCATAGGCGTAGGTCCAAACTCCACCTCCGAGTTGCTGTCATCAGAATCCTGCGTGTTGCCAGATTTTGAGGGTCCTGAGGTGTGCACCAACCCATTTAGAGCGTCTGTAATGCGCCGATTTCATGGCTTTGTTTTGATGAGGTTGACTTTGGAAAAAAACATGTTCTGAAATTTGAAAATTATCGTACATTATGGGATTTTTTTCATTATTGATCGTACAGAGATCAAAATTATCGTACAAATAAGATAATTATCGTACGTCTGGCAACACTGGGTCTCGCGCTGATGACGCAACATCCAGGTAGGCACGCCCAGGGCGGGTTATGATTGGTTGATTGACAGGCTCAAATCTGATTGGCTAAAGAGTACGAGTCACCCGCGTGGGAGGAGTTCGCTGCCAGGAAAGTCTCAAAAATACTCTTTTCAAAGATTCGGTTCTTTTGGCTCGGCTCCCTTAGAAGAGTCGGCTCTTACGGCTTCCAAATGGCTCTTCATTAATTATCACTCGGAGCCTTCTATTTTAGCCCAATTTAGCAATTGTGAATGGTTTGTGTGTTGGTAAGCAATTTTTATTAAGTGTTTTCATAACACTTTTTCGTTACAAAAAATACAGTAACTATTATTGAATATTTTAATAAAACTTTAATTGAACATTTGAACACAGAACCACAGCAATCAAATCAAATAAACAAAGGCAAATGTCTTAACATTAAGACACTTTAGTCTTTAGTGCAGGTTGGCATTCAGAAACATCACATGCCTCAGCTTGGATGTGCTGATACGATCTCTCTGTGATTATTTGTCCTGTTTTTGAGAAGACTCTCTCTGAGGGGACCGATGTTGCAACAATACAGTGTCTTCCTACCTTAACCAACGCGCTTGCGGTTAAATCCGGTGTCATGAGAAATCGAGTCCCCCCTCGAAACCGGGTCCGCTTAGGACCATGGCGGTAGCTGTTTTAAATGCCTGATCAAAAGTCAACACTTATGTTACTAATTCGTTTTGAATATATGTATGGTAAGTGCAAATGCGTGGTGTATAAGCTAACCTAGCAGGCTAATCGGGTAGCTGTATGCTATGCTAGTAACGTTACGTGAGCGAACCAAAAATAAATAAATAAATAAAAACGAGAAATGTTTGATTTCACAACCTATAGCTTCGAATACTATTGTATGAAACATGTCATTTAAAAGACATTAATGGTCATTATAACGAAGTTCAAACGACATAAATCAAAGCTCGATTTTGCAGGAATTGTAATCAGGTGCTAAAAATAATACCCATTAAAAGTTCATTGTAGTGTTGGGTCATTCTTGAACGATTCGTTCGTTTTGAACTAATCTTTAATGTGACTCGGGAAGAAAGAGTCGTCTCGGGGAGTGATTTGTTCAGTCGCGCATGTGCAACATCCTATAGGTTCTGTACTGGAGTTAGTCAAGTAGTTCACCTGGTTTGAGTCTTCGGGTTTTTCCGAGTCGTTCGTTCATCACGTGTCAGCCCCATAAGCCCAAACCCGAAGACTTGTCAGATGAGGTGAGGTGAGCTAATCTTAGACTGAAGACCCAGGTAAACAATGAATTCATCTTTTCTGTTTCTTATAGCAGTTTTGTATTGTTAGTTGTGTGATCAACGTTTGCGTAAGTAGTAGACGTATTAGGGAAGTAACACGTAACATTTTAATTATATTTTGTTAAAATGAACGAAATGACTCGAAAAAAGATTTGTTCATTTTGCTGAACGAGACTCAAAGGTCCGAGTCGGTAAAATGATCCGAACTTCCCATCACTAGTTCGTTGAACCAATGGGATCACTCGGGGTCCTAAGCGGACCCGATTTCGAGGGGGGACTCAATTTCTCATGACACTGGCTCCCCCGTCTCTCTCTGTCGCTCTGTGTACCTGGCCTTTACCACTACACTTGCTATCTTTGGAGCGTGTGTCCCCCATCCTTTCACATAATGGTATGATCCTAGTCTATCCTCCCATGTGATTGGATTAGCCGCATGAATATTTTTTAATTTATTTTTTGTAACGGAAAAATGCATAAAAATAAGGCTTTTATGAGAATGCTTAATAAAAAATTGCTTACCAGCACACAAACCATTCACAATTGCTACATTGGGCTAAAATAGAAGGCTCCGGCTGAAGATTCGGCTCTCCCTGACGGGAGTCGCTCTTCTCGTTCACTACAAAGAATCGTCTCTTAGAGCTGGCTCGTTCGCGAACGACACCACTAATTTATACATTCACAGTCCATGATGAACTCGTGAATTTTAAACATTCAAAAAATGTTTACACAGTTGTACAGCTGTCTTTTGCATTTGTGAAACGTATTTCATGAATATGTATTCTTATTTTGTGCACGTGAATTGGGTTTCACGCATGTGAATTGGGATTAATCCGCTTCCATAAAATCATGTCGGCCAATCATAACAACGAATACAGCCAAGAAATATATCAAGAAAAGCTCAAAAGTAGAAATGCATAAATAAATGTAAAAATAAATAAATGTAGAAATACCTAAATAAATGTAGTACAAAATGGTACATACACAAATGGTACAAAAATAGCACAATTAAAAATGACACTTTTGACAAAATTATTTATTCATTCATTTATGCATATCTGCATGTATTTATTTATTCATTCATTTAATTATTTCAGCATTTAATTATTTATTTATTCATGTATTTCTACATTTACATTTTACATTTAGTAATTTTGCAGACGCTTTTATCCAAAGCGACTTACAACTGGGAATTAATAAAGCGATTTCTTCTTACCATCTGCGCCACTGGAGCTGATGATTTACAGCCACTTTTAACTAAATGTAAATAGACACCCCGTATTTTTTATTCCAGCGTAAGAGCAATTCATACAATACATTTAAACTGAGCTACTTTAATACCATCTCCGAACTTTCTACCACGACTCTGCTGTTCTTCGGCTGGTTCTTCCTGTATACGTTGATTGACAGATGTCTCGTCCAGTCAGCGGTGAGTAATTCCAAACCAATGGCGCTGTCTCAAACTATACCTACCTCTTCCGGTTTGTCTGGTTTGTCCTTGTGTTTTCTGACTTGTTATAATGTTTTCTGAATTGTTGTTGTGTTTTCTGAATTATTTAGTTTTTTAGACTTGCATTTGCATTTGTAATTTGTTATTTTGTTTTCAGAATTGTGATTTGTTTAGTACTTCTTGGCCACCGTAGAAAAGAGAAGAGTGAATTTCCAGGTGTTGGAATCCTGCCCAGTTGGCTGAGGACTGTGGGAGAAAATGAAGTCAGTAGAGAGAGCTGAAGGAGTCAATGTGTTTCTGCTGATGTAACCACACAAGTTTAACTCCCCTCACTCAATCTGAGCAGGATTCGAACCCGCGTTTAAAGGGGTCATATGATGCTGCTAAAAAGAACATTATTTTGTGTATTTGGTGTAATGAAATGTGTTTATAAGGTTTAAAGTTAAAAAAACACATTATTTTCCACATACTGTACATTATTGTTTCTCCTCTATGCCCCGCCTTTCTGAAACGCGTCGATTTTTACAAAACTCATCGGTCTGAAAAGCGAGGTGTGCTGTGATTGGCCAGCTATCCAGTGTGTTGTGATTGGCCGAATACCTCAAGCGTGAGACGGAAATGTTATGCCCCTCACATACTGTTGATGCCGTGTCCTGGCCGGAGCGATGAGACATAAACATTAAAACCCATTATAAACGAGGCATTTGTTGCATCAAGTGGGGACATAATTACTGATTATAATGACTTATACTGTCTTTTTACGCGTTGCGTTGCATCGTGCCGCATAAACATAAAACCATGTCTGCATTTGTGATCGGGGAAATGACAAACAACAAGTGTTACTCTACACTGCCCAAAACTCGCGTTTGAATCATCAGTGGCAAATCCTTTAAATGAAAACGTACTTACGTGAGTCAGAACTGCCGGCATTTTAGTCTAACGTTACTCTTCCAGGATCAGTAAACAGTCCTCCATAAAATGCGCTGCACACATCTGGATATTTGGGTTAAACTGTTCTGGAACAGAATTGTAAACACAACTTAACCACTGATTTGTAGTTGTGTCCTCTTTTGGAAGACAAACAAAGTAGTTTCGCTTTCACAACGAAAAACACAGCGGCCTTGCATGAGCGGAAGCCCCGGCTTAGCGTGCGCTGAGGCCGGGCTAGAGTGAGCTGAGGCCGGGATAGAGTGAGCTGAGGCGGCGGGGTTGAGAATGGCGCAGCAATCTCTTTGGATTTGAGACTTTAGTCTTTGCAACTTTACAGATCTTCTTTATGCACCAAGAGATAGTAACACTCCAAAGAGAAAGGAAAAATTTTAATCGCATCATATGACCCCTTTAAGGCATGGGAAGTGGGCGCGCTAATGAGAATACTAAAGAACGCAGCCTCTAGCAACATCTAGTGTTACACTGAGATCCATGATTCAGTCAAAGCCAAAATGTTTTGACTGGCTGACAAAGGCAGGATTGAAGACAGCTTGTATACTCTATCACAGTTTACAGAAATTCAAACATATAGCCTATAGTTTGGGTCTTTATCAAATAAACCTCTTTAAACTGTTAACCTTTTATTAGAAAAGTTCTGTGTTCATATATTTATAATCTGAATAGATTAACAGATATTGAACTCTAACATTACCAATACTTCAACTGTCACATAATGAATATTTTATATTTTCATAATTGTGAATATTGGATTGTGTTGCATAATATAAGCATCCAATAAGTTACAGTATTTACATGTTATTTTAAGCAGTGACAGAAAATTCAGTGGATGTCACACTCATGTGACCTTGAAATAGCAAACCATCACGTCGTTGATTTTTGCAACATGATGGAAAAAAATGCCCCACAACTTCACCTTTCATTAATTTTTATTACAACCCTAAAAGCAAAACTGTTAAAATAAAACTTAAATGTTAATAATAAATATTTAACACATTACTTTATTTAACAGTTTTCACCCATATTGAGTGATAAACAGACATGAAAACGGACTTTTACTGATTACTGATGAAAATTACAATAATTATATACTATGATATTTTAATAGTTAAACAGTTAATGATAATTTTCTATTTTGAAAAATTTGGAAGCAACAGGATAAAATATATAATTTGTGCATTAACTTAATAATGTTGAGCTCAAGACACAAGCTGATCATTGAATGTATTCAAGCTCTATAACTATGAAAGATCAATCTCAAACTCTCCTCATTGAGTCTCTACAAAGACTAAATCTGACATGAGTTTGATCCACATCTTCAACTCTATTGAACAATCAGTTTGACTGTGATTGTAATAGACGTTTTTTTCCCCTTTAGTTATACTTGGATGTTTTACACTTCCAAATGAAATTGTCTACATGTCTACATGATTCCTTAAGCAAGTTATAACCATTTTATTTATTTTTTTACATTATTATTCTAGGCATTTTTCAGAGAAAAACAGGTCCATTTTATTTACTGACTAGATGTGTCCAAAGATGTTCAGGGAGTAAAGTTTTATTATATAATAAAGATTATTATATAATAACAGAACACTGAAGCAAAAGAGGCTTTTTTAAGAGATATATTTTCAATCTGAACATAAACAACAAACACAATCAGGGTTGCAAGTAGTGAAAAAAATTGTGCAAACTGTCTTGTGCAACAAAAATATAAACAGTGCAAATGATTTTCATAAATTACACAGAAAAAGAGAGGGAAATATACTGAGTGCAACTGAACAAATAGTGCAAATGATCTTCACAAACTATAAAATAAATATTTACAAAATATAACCACCAAATATACTTTGTACTCTGTAGGCTGTACTCCTCCTCACTGCACCAGGCATCTGCATTGGAGCGATCGTACTGGGACATTACATAGCAACTTGATTCCAATGCTTTACCCGATATGTACAGCTGTTTCATTCTTGTTTTTGGCTTCTGTTATTTTGTGTTTTTCATGCACGCACATACCTACATTCACTTTGCATTTGTTCAGATTTCCAAAGAAGACCAAAACCTACCTTTATTGGTTGAGTAGATGACAGTATGTTCCATTCTGGGATCTAAGCATCAACAATCATTTTCTGTTTGGCTCAGAGAACAAACTGACAAATCATTGCAGATCAAAATATGATGAAGGAACCACATTAACTATGGAGCCACTGAATGTCCAACTGAGACAGTTACAAATGACATATACCTTATAAAATCTCCTAATTATGAGAATCTTTAAAGCATTCAGATTGGATTAGCAGTTCAAAAGTTATTAACATTTGTGACCATTATTTAGATTTATATACCTGAAAACTGAATAAATAAGCTTTTCATTGATGTATGGTTTGTTAGGATAGAACAATATTTGGCTGAGATACAACTATTTGAAAATCTGGAATCTGAGGGTGCAAAAAAAATAAAAAATACTGAGAAAATCGCTTTTAAAGTTGTCCAAATTAAGTTCTTACCAATGCATATTTCTAATCAAAAATTAGGTTTTGATATATTTACGTTAGGAAATGTACAAAATATCTTCATGATCTTTACTTAATATCCTAATGACTTTTGGCATAAAAGAAAAATCTATAATTCTGACCCATACAATGTATTGTTGGCTATTGCTACAAATATCCCCCAGCGACTTAACACTGCTTTTGTGCTCCAGGGTCACATTTAAGAGCAATAGTTATTTTTAGCTATGGGTGTCTGTCTCTGTCTTTCAGGGTTAATCTCACACAGAGACACTGGAGTATCATAAAAAACTGTAAATCCAGACATAGCAACTTGATTCCAATGCTTTACCCGATATGTACAGCTGTTTCATTCTTGTTTTTGGCTTCTGTTATTTTGTGTTTTTCATGCACGCACATACCTACATTCACTTTGCATTTGTTCAGATTTCCAAAGAAGACCAAAACCTACCTTTATTGGTTGAGTAGATGACAGTATGTTCCATTCTGGGATCTAAGCATCAACAATCATTTTCTGTTTGGCTCAGAGAACAAACTGACAAATCATTGCAGATCAAAATATGATGAAGGAACCACATTAACTATGGAGCCACTGAATGTCCAACTGAGACAGTTACAAATGACATATACCTTATAAAATCTCCTAATTATGAGAATCTTTAAAGCATTCAGATTGGATTAGCAGTTCAAAAGTTATTAACATTTGTGACCATTATTTAGATTTATATACCTGAAAACTGAATAAATAAGCTTTTCATTGATGTATGGTTTGTTAGGATAGAACAATATTTGGCTGAGATACAACTATTTGAAAATCTGGAATCTGAGGGTGCAAAAAAAATAAAAAATATTGAGAAAATCGCTTTTAAAGTTGTCCAAATTAAGTTCTTACCAATGCATATTTCTAATCAAAAATTAGGTTTTGATATATTTACGTTAGGAAATGTACAAAATATCTTCATGATCTTTACTTAATATCCTAATGACTTTTGGCATAAAAGAAAAATCTATAATTCTGACCCATACAATGTATTGTTGGCTATTGCTACAAATATCCCCCAGCGACTCAACACTGCTTCTGTGCTCCAGGGTCACATATAAGAGCAATAGTTATTTTTAGCTATGGGTGTCTGTCTCTGTCTTTCAGGGTTAATCTCACACAGAGACACTGGAGTATCATAAAAAACTGTAAATCCAGCATAGAGGGGTTCAGTGAATGTGGTGCTGAATGTGTGTAAGTGTGTGAGTGTGTGTGTGGCAGAGATACTGTAGAAGGACAGAGGGCCGGCCGACCAGTCAAGATACCCTCCTACTCTGTTAGAGAGACATGAAGGGGCAGATATTTCTGTAATCTTATTACTGTGACTGACAGTGAATCTGTCAATAAACCAGTTTAGACTCCAAGACTTTTCATTGAATCCAAACCAACAGTCATCACTGCATCCTTTCCTGCTGATTCCTTTATATGTCACTGATACATAAACTGCCCTCCCACTCCATTCAGCCTCCCAGTAACAGTGTCCAGACAGACTCTCTTCACACAGAACCTGATAACACTTATCAAATCTCTCTGGATGATCAGGATACGGCTGCTTCTCTTTCACAAATTCCACTCTTCTGTTCATCTCAGACAGGGCGAGTTGAGTGTGTGCTGTGTTTAAATCCAGTGTGAGATCACATGCATCTGAACACGAGAGAGACTTTAACATTTCTAACACAAAAACAATGATTAAGCTGTCTGTGTGTGTGTGTGTGTGTGTGTGTGTGTGAGAGAGAGAGAGAGAGAGAAACCTACATTTCTTTAGTCCTGTTGTAATCCTGATCTCTCCTCGATGACCCACACTATTAAAACAAAAGATTTTACTCAATTTAAATAAGGAAGAAAAAAAATTGAGCCAAATGACCTTTTGTAATTGCCCAATTAAATACTCTATGGTTGTTCAGAAATGCTGAACATGCTCTTTTGTCATGATCTATTTCTGCGGTTCCCAATCCAAGTCCTCCCGCTCTGCATATTTTGCATGTCTCTCTTAGTTAACACACCTGATTCAGATTACCAGCTCGTTAGAAGTGACAGTGAGCTATGTGCATGAACTGTGTTCTGATTGATATGATCCCTACAGTGTTCATTGCTCCCAACTCCCAAAATACATTTAAGTTTACTTCACTTTGGAACATTCATTCATGGATTTGCACTGCACCGCTGCCTGCAGCGTCTTCACACACAGACGAAACTTATTAGAGAAGTGTGATATCATTTACCTCTGTAAATAAATACAATTTAAATTCACATCTTACACACTTCAATGCCCTTTAAATGGAACATATACAGTCATTTCGAACTGGAATCATGGCGGAATAGCCGATGTTGTCCACTTCGCAGGGCACTTACAGTCGAATAGAACAATGACGGACATCATAAGAGAAGCGGTTGGGAAATGCTATTTCATTGGTTTACTATTGATGGAGATGCATCAAACTCTGTAAATTTACTTTAATGTTACTTTGTCACTGTCAGAAGATCAGCTAGTGAGTTTGCAGTAGTTCATACTGTAACACTACTGCACTTCATTCTTTTTATACATGGAGGTGAATAAATGAATTGAACTATATATCCAAATTCAGGCCAATGTCTCTTCTGATTAAGATCCTTTGAGATCCTCTGTCTGTCCTCCAGCATTTGATGTAGTTCCTGACTCACAGCCACTAACACTGGATAAGATTTTTAAGCTTTGAGCTATAGAATCACTTTTATGTTTACTGATCATGCACCTATATCCTTTCATTTAGTGTTTTAATTAACTAAAATTCATAATTTAACTGCAGAAATTCCTTGCTGTTCTGTTACGCTGAGTTGATCTGCTTTATTCAGTATCATGAGATCAAACATAATTTCTTCTCACAGACTGTGATCTCTTGAGTTTGTATCTTGGATCTGTTTTTGCCGAATGTCTCTGACAGCAATGCCAATTTATTTTCTAGAGCAGCAACAAGCTTTGAATTGATGTTTTGGGATCAGAGACTTGAATGTGTTTCCGAGATGCTGCTATTATGAGTCACAAGCAGCTGTTGAACTGAATCAAGATCAACTTCACTCAAAGAGATCAACAACATGTTCTTATTTTCCTGTGCAGTATGTATGTGTATATATGTGCTGTATGCAGGGATCAATGTACATAGGAGTTTTCAGTGATTTTATAGTGCACTCATGTACAAACACAAGTGACAGGATGATTGTTAGTGTTGAACATACTTGAGATTGTCCAGTCTGTAGTTTGGATCAGAGAGCAGTTTGACTAATGATTGTCCTGGGTGATTGTAACTCAGATCCAGCTCTCTCATGTGTGAGGGGTTTGAACTCAGAGCTGAAGCCAGAAAACAGCAGCCTTCCTCTGTCACCATACATCCAGATAACCTACAAACACACACACACACATTCTCTTTTAGTGCATTGGAAAGAAAAAATATATAATTTGGATTATGAATATAATGAAAAAACAAATTTATCTAAGCAAATCTAAACAAATAAACCACACTTTACAATCATTAAGCAGTTATGATAAAACAAAGAAAAATGGTGTGAAGCCTACGTATGTGCAATACTTCAGAGTCTGAACATCTTTTTATTAAAGAAATGCTAGAATAGAATACAAAAAGTATATCACATTAAAAAGCAATAGAATAACATAGTTAACATAGTTAAAACAGAATAACAGGTTAATTATATTAATTACAAATCAGTGGCGGCTCATCGGGGGGCATAATTATGAGGTGAAAATGGGAGGAGGACGATTTAATGTTAATAAAATTCACAATTCATTTCAGTTCATGTCTCAGAATGTGTATTTTTTGTTTGTAATTTCACAGTTGTAATATCATAACGTGAAAGCGCCACTTTTCTATCGTGAATGTGCCGAATCTGCTGATGTAATTACAACCGCTAGGTGATAGAGAAGGGGAGGGGGAGGTCAGGGATGAGCTGAGCTCTTGTGCCTCCGTTGGTAAAAAAAATTAGCCAATCAGCATCGAGTGTTCACTTTCAGCGCTGAGGAGTGTTGAGAAAAGAACCCTCGTAGGGGAGGCTAGCCTCCCTTCTGATATCAACCAATCATCAACGAGAACGTCTGCCGCTGCGCTGATAATGTACCAAGTACTTATGATGAGATATTGAATATTTGATCGCCAACAGATTTACCAAGCTGTCATTCAAACAGTATATATACAAATTTAGGGAAAACAGCCTAAGCTGGATATAGGCTACAGCAGTCGGCTTAATTAAATGGCGCAACAGGCAGCTCTCTTTTAACACAGACTTTTAAGAAGCGATGGATGTTTGCTTCAAGTGATAGGCCAGGTAAGTGAAATTATATTATCTTGCTGTATGTATGTCATTTTCTTTACGTTTTCTGACTAAAAGCAACCAAAAAGCCATTTTAAAGTGGTTAAGCAAATTATAATAATAATAATCGGCTGGGATCCAAGACCAATACAGTAAGTGTGCCTCCTCTATTTTAAAACCCACGAGCCGTCACTGGTACAAATTAAACAATAATAATGTTAACATTGCTTTCATGCACTTTCTGATACAATTATCAAGTGTTAAATCAACTGAAGTCAATCAAATAAAGGAATATTTCCAGGCGATTATTCAAAAATAACTAGCTTAATCATCTTAAACGAGCCATATCTCTGGGTTTGAGCGCAATGATCAGATAGCATTAGCAGGTCCTCGTTTATCTCATGACTGTGGCAACACCAGCAATGCTGACATTCACCTCACTCACATAATCTCACGCCTCTGTTCGTGATTTGCACCGTGCCAAAACATTCCACGGAGTGGCAAAACAAGATGGTAGTGAGCAGGGGTCTCCAGCCCTGGTCTTGGAGAGTTACCATTCTACAGACTTTAGTCCCAACCCTGCTCCAACACACCTTTCTGCAATTATCAAGTAACCCTGAACACTTTGATTAGCTGGCACCCTCAGCACCCCTACTTCCTGCAATAAATACAGTGACTTGCATTGAACTGCAAGCGCTCACACCACAAATAAAGTAGAAAATCACATCTGGAAATATTATCTGCAGCAGCTCGTTAATACCCGGCCACTTGTTTGTACGGATTAAAGGGTTAGTTCACCCAAAAATTAAAATTCTGTCATCAATTACTATCATTATTACTCACCCTTGACACATGCGTGTGCATTCCTCTGCTTGTAAAAATGGCGCAGTTTGATTAGAAGCAGAGGAATGCACACTAGTGCATCATGGTACTCTCGTGATGAGCATGCGTCGAGGACTGACACAGAAGACAAGAAATCCTTGAATAAAGTCGTTATTTTTGTTTTCTTTGCACACAAAATGTATGCTTGTACTAATGTCCTCACTACCTTTCTGGGCCTTGAAAATTTCAGTTGCATTGCTGTCTATGCAGGGTCGGAAAGCTCTTGCATTTAACCAAAAGTATCTTAATTTGTGTTCCGAAGATGAACAAAGGTCTTACGGACTTGGAATGGCATGAGGATGAGTAATTAATTACATAATTTGAATTTTTGGGTGAACTATCCCTTTAAGCCCATTAATTTATTTGATCACACTCCTCTTGTTCGGCATCTCTAATCTTCAACTTGGTTCATTCAAGTCAAGTTATTTATTCTTATAGCATCCACAATACACATAATTTGAAAGCAGCTTTATAGTACCTTATTCTGTTACCTCTATAATGGCTTAATGCTTTAACATTGAGCAGTTTTAAGACCGGGCAATATGATGATATATAATGATGATAAACAATCCATGCACGTTTGAGATCTAGCTATATTGTATTTATTCTTCCCTTATGAAAATTAACCATGGTTTTACTAAGAACATGGTTACTATAAACTATGGTAACCACAAATTAACCATGGCTTTGCTACACTAACCATAGTTTAACCATGGTATTTCTAGTAAAACTGTGGTTATACAAATGGTAATCAATATGCCAAAATATAAAACCATACTAATTTTCGTAAGGGTTTCAGCAGTTATATCAGTACCACTTTAGTGAAGGAGACTGAATACTATTTAAATTTTCTTGTCAAAACTGGCGACAGTCCATTGACAATAATGCTTATACACTACTAATCGAAGCCGGATGTGGTGACAAGCGTTATGTGGTAAAGGTCCATGAACAGAAATACACTGCCCGTTTAATTTTTGACTGATGTGATTCCTGTAACTCCATTAAACCAAATGAATAATGGATTTAATGTACAACTTATCCACAGATCACTGATTTGTTGTTGAAGCAGAATTGATATCAATAACAATTTCTGTTCACTCCTCACAACTTAAACAATTTATTTAGTGAATAAACCATTTATAATAATAAATCAAATAAATAATTCAATTAAAATTTTTTTACATAAAATTACCTCAGTATGTTGAGTTGACAGTGTGAACTCTTCAGTCCATCAGAGAGCAGCTTCACTCCTGAATCCTGCAGGTCATTGTTACTCAGGTCCAGCTCTCTCAGTGAGTTTGATGAATGTAGAGATGAAGACAAACTTTCACAGCACTGATCAGTGAGATTGCAACCCGTCACTCTAAACAGAACCAGGTAAAATATTGTCATGTATCTTTCCAAAACATGCAATTCCTGACTATTTTTCCACTGTGACTCTAGTTAGTGAAAGCAGCTGGCAAGTACTGTTTAACACATTGCATTATCAGACACTGACAGCTCAAATTTACTGTGTCGGGACTAAGTTACATTTACATTTAGCAGACGCTTTTATCTAAAGCAGTTAGCCTAACGCAGTACACGTTAGAGCCCTGCACGGGCCTCAAATATAGGCCCTAGCGGTACTTATACCGCAAATATATATTCTTAAGGACATCAAAACCTAAAATTAAACTCCAGAAAGGTGTACAATATGTGACCTTTAAAATAGTTCAATTTTGTATGTAATGTCAAAGTGATTATATTTCGTTTAGTTTTTTTATTATGCTAATTTAGAAAAACGTTTGGAGCATTTTTTGTTCGATAAATGTACGTTTTTGTTTTTTAAAGTAACGACCAAGCGGCCAGCGCAGACAGTGAGTTGATCATAGCCTATGTTTGATCAATTTAGCCTTCTCAAATCATCACGACTTGCCTAAAATAAAATCTATAGATATAAAACAGTTCAAGCATATCACAATGTTAGTTTAAATGTTTAACCTATATAAATGTGCGCTATTAGATGCATATTTAATCGTTTGTGCGAAGAGCTAAAGCGCGCTTTACAGGACATGGAGGCGCTGGCACGATCACTTGCATTGGAAACAATGTAAAATATGCCGTCATTTTTGCTCATAAAGGTAAGAGTAATACATCACTCTGAACTGTAAAGCGTTTACTTTTATTGGTGTGCACTCACAATATCAACAAAACCTTGTTCTTTTATAAAATAAAGGATACATACAGCATGCGCTTTCTGCAATTTCGGCCAGGAGCGCTACACAATGATGAACCGAAACTCAGCGAATACTTGCCTCACAGACTTGCTAAATATATCTATAGAATATTTTAAATTACTACTTTAAAACTAAATAATTCAACTCAAATACAAATACAAAAACTCTTTTTACGGATTTTATGAAATCCGTAAAAATGCATTTCTCTCTAAAGGCACCTCCAATGAGGAGATGGTGAGTCAGGATCGTCGTCTTCATCTTTGCGACACGGACTCAGAAAACACTAATTTATTAATAAATAATTCAAATATCTAATTTCCCCCCCCCGTCACATTCAAGGGAATTACTTTTGCTGGGGCTTTGCGGCATGCTTTAGCCTATTGCGTGCGTTTTTTGCTGTCAT